CATGATCTGCTTTCTTCACACCACCTTCATCCTCCTCTGGGTAACCCTGGAAAATTCCCACATTTTCCCCCCACTTTGGATTGTACTCAACACTCCTTGTGAACTTAATGGATTTAGAGTCAGTCATCCATACCCTGTATGCACCTTTTTCGTACCCCATGAACAAACCATGTGCCCCACACTTCCCAAGCTTGTTGCTCTGTGGGGAGTGTACCCACATGTCAGAACCAAAGATTCTCAAGTGCTTGATGTTCGGTTTCTTACCAAACATCTTCTCGTACAGAGTACAACCAATAGGTGATGACAGTCTGCGATTAACGGTATAAACTACCGTTGACAGAGCTTCCCCCCAAAACTTCTCAGGGAGGTTGGCATCATGCAACAAGGTTTTCATTCCTTGCAGCAACGTTTGATTTGCTCGCTCCGCAAGCCCATTCATCCATGGCGATCTAGGCGTTGTCAAGTCATGCTGGATTCCCTTCTCAGTCAGGAATGCTTCAAACTGCTGAGAAGTGAACTCCCCGCCCCGATCGGTAAACAGACAGCCGATACGTTTACCGTGAGCATTCTCCAGCCAAGCACAGAATGCTTTGAACCTAGGAAACGCTTGCGATTTCTGCTCGAGCATAAACACATGAATGTACCTGGAAAAAGAATCAATTAGAACCATGAAGTACCTTGCTCCACCCAAAGAGGGCGCAAGAGGACCAACCAGGTCTGCGTGCACTAGCTGGTAGGGTTTGGAAGCCTGCCTGCTAGACTCTTTGCCTTTTGGAGCAACCTTCACCTTGTTCTCTGCACAAGATACACATTTCATGTGAAATTTACAGGGTTTGATGTTCAAACCTTCAACCAATCCTGGCATCTTGGCCAGCGCCTGCCAAGACATGTGACAAAATCTTCGATGTGCATCGTGAATGCATCCTGCATGAAGAACCTTGTTAGTTTGTGCAACACAACAAGAATCAGCATTAGACACAACAGCATTGTCATCATAAGTTATACAGAATAAACCATCTATAAACTTTGCATGCAAAATGTCCTCTTTGCCTTTCCTGATGACACAGACGCTCCTCTTGAAGGATATCTCAAAACCACGCCCAGTCAGCTGTGGGACACTCAGCAAATTGTCCGCAGCACCTGGCACATACAGTACATTACTGATGGTTGTATGCAAACTTGCAAGTTTCACAGTCCCTTCTCCTGCAATTTGCAATGTCCTTCCATCAGCCAGGTGGATCTCTCCTTCTTGAGGTGTGAAGGAGATAAACAGGTGCTTATCCTTCGTCAAATGGTGCGTGCAGCCTGAGTCAACAACAAACCTGGCTTTAGCCTTTGGAGCAGTGGGCTTTTGCAGCTTGCCCCCCTGCTCCTGGCCATGAGACTTGCCTTTAGCCTTTGGTGAAGCAATGCCAGCTAACAAAGCCTTGTTTTCCACTGGCGTGGGCTCTTCACCCCCCTTCTGCTTAGGGCCATCTGCAGGCATCTGTCTTTGTTTACCTCTGGCCTTCCGGCCTCTGCAAAGGCGATGACCTTGGTTCCCACGAGAAACAGAGCTCTTAGCTGCCGACTCCTTGGCTCCCCCTGGAGACTGGAATGCTGCCTGGGATGACATCACAGTCTGCTCCCCCTGCAGCTTGCAACCGGTGCCCTCAGCATCCCTGCATTCACTCGCATTCTGGGAAACAACCAGGACCTCCGATGCAGTCAAACTCTGGGCATTCAAACTCTGAGCTGGGATGACTGGCATGTGGGCTATCTTCAAAGCATTCGACATCTTACGTGCAGTCACATTGCCAGCAAGCGTTTTTATTTCCTCCAGAGAGACGGATAGGACTATTATGTCCATGGCCCTCGAATTCTGGGCCTCCCATTTCCCTGTCAGAGGAGCTGGAGGGCTTCAGACACGGTATGCCACACTCCAAACTGACGCAGCAAACTCTCACACCATTTTGCCCAGGTCTGATAATTGTGCCGATTTAACTTTGGGCACTCAGCAGCTTCAGAAGCTTCAAAAGCGTGGAAAAACTCCATTCCAGCTTTTTACTTGAGCCGTGAGCCTTTATGCCTTCAAAAACTTGTTATCTTGGCTCCCATTAATCACGAAGCCTTCTTGGCTCGGCTCCCAGGCCAATTAAGCCAGCCGGAGTTCTGAGACTCTTGCCGCGGCCCACAGAAAAGCCTCTGCTTTCGCTTTTCCAACACATACCTCAGCAGTCTGTTGCTTTCTTACTCTCCTGTAAGTGCCGTGAATCTGGGCCCATAACCTTGTTGTTGGGATACTGCCAGGGAGATAACGTCCATCTGAGCCCCCAAGCCGGCTGCCGGACGATCCATCCATCGACCTCCCGTAGTCACGCAGTATCAGCAATTAGCGGCACGAAGCCTTTGGATCCACATTCCTAGGCTGGTGCACACTCTTTCAGCAGAATTCACACAGCAGAAGTTGCACAGCAGGAGAGCATATTTACATTTTATTCAACGTTGGTTAGAGCAAACAGAAGACATGACCGTCTGCTTCAGCGTTCAAGCACAGACAGAGAAAACGAAAGCAATAGCAAACATAAACATCCTGTAACAGGAAATACGCAGACTCTGTGACTCATAGCCTGCTCCCTTTTAAGGTGGAACGGAAATATCCTAACATGTTTGAGCCTCTTGGTCAGCAGTGGTACATTAGATGAGGGGGAGGGTGGAACAGCAGTGCCATCCTCCTGTCATTGGCCGTGATATCACTCTCTGGGTCAGAGATAGGGCAGCAACAAAGGGTTGGTGGCAGCCCACAAGTGCATGCACACCCATGCTACAAACAGTGATTGGCTCTCCCCATCCTTGTTCTGGTGAGCAGCCATGCCCCTTCACATTCCACCTCTGCTGTTACCTCTCTCTTGTGAATGGGTGGTGTGGTTTTGGATACATAAACATTAATGAGGTTTTAGTATCACTCTTTCTCTCTTATTTTTCTATACATCTCTGTTTCTTCATCTGACACGTCTTCATACCTCTGCTGAGACAACGTGTTCTGTTCTCATTCCATATTACAGAAACACAAACGAGCCTAAGTTTTTTAAAAAACAAACTAGCCCTTCAACTTCAGTCACACCAATTTAGCAACTCATCTACTGATTAAATCAATTCGAATTTGTGAGATAAGCATAACATTATTTTTGTACACACTGGGGAGCAATCAACATCGCCCAATTTCTCCTGATCAAGACAGTGGTTTTCAATATGCACTCTGGGGAACTGTAGATGCCCTGAAAGCTTATAATGGGTTCCCTGATTTTTTTAAAAAATCAATAATGGCAGACAAGTTTCCTCTCAAAGGGAACTTTGCCAGCATCCAAAGCTACAGATTGCCCCAACAATGAGAGCGTTGGATGTGCCTCACTGCCATTTTCAGCCATCTTAGTCAGTGCCTCACATGAACTGAAAGCCAAACCAGATGAGACACAAATCAAACAACTGTGTGATAATTGTTTTAAAAAGTAAATTGCAGGTGCAAAGACCCCAATCTAAATCAAGACCCTGAAATTGGGTTTTTATTGAGTGTTCTCTGCAAAGTTATACTTTGCAACAGCACTCCCCCTGCAATTTGTATTGGGGGGGGGGGAGTGTCAGTTTACCCCACTGGGAACATTTTTGAATGTAGATGCAACGTCCCCAATCCAGACTGGACCATAAGAGGACAAAGGGGTAAAGCCCCCCCTACCTACCCTTCCAATTCCAGGATCCCACTGCAAATGGGGAGACTGTGCCTGCAATTTATTTTTTTAAAGTCATTCATGCAATTGCTAATTGTGTGATTGGCATGTCATCTGCTTTGGCTCTGTGTGCACACCAGAAAACAAGTCCAGAATCCTCTGGCTTTCCATGAAAAGAAGTTCAAGAATTCCTTGGCAAATTACAATGTTCCCTAAAGCTAAAAATGTTGAAAGACACCGCTCTAAGAGATAATAGGCCACATTTTCCACTTTCCCAGAATGGTGTGCATTTTGTTTGTTCTTTAACAGTATCTCTCTAGATGTCTACCCAACAAAACGCCTGTCTTCATTCATTAAAATGTCAGGCTAGATCTCATTCTGTGGCTTAATCTGACATTTCCAGTATCCTCCTTTTTTTTAAGGTTGAACTAAGAAGAACTTGTGACTCAAATGCTTTATATCCAAACAAAATAGCTGAAATTCCCAGGAATCCAAATTACAGTAAGACAATGGACTAGGTATCACATCTAGTACATTTTGAAACGGAATGCCATTGTTTACCAAAGCTCATTTCTCCCACCCCAAATTTCACTCTAAACTACAATCAGTTTTTCTAAGAATAATAGACCCAATATAGACTGAAGTAACAGATCTAGATAGAAATCCAATATTTTTCTTTCTTTCCCAGTTCTATCTAATGTTTACAAATAAAGAAGAGAACAATTCACCTCTATAGTAGTATCTAGGAAGATACCATTTTGATCAGACTTTGGGTCAGCTCACGGTCACAGCAGTATCCACACTGGGCCTATACATCACTGTGATTGGTGTAATTGTGGCACCTTGAGAAAGGGCTGTTGTTACTGTACAAGCAACAAGGACCACATATACAATCCTTACATGAAGTCACTAACAGTCACAGTCAAGCTGTTTGAAAATCACTGCCAGCATAGCAACTCTTTCAGTAAAGCCCTTGAGTAGATCTAAGTATTGAACCATCCAAATCTCATTTTTACAGATTTACTTTAGCACTTGATGAGCAGCAGACCACGAATATCAGCAAAGTAGTTACAAATGAATGGGATTACACGGCATCACTGCATACAGCTAGTTGAACAATTCTATCTACCACTGCCTGGTAGATGTTCCTTGACAAATTCTGCAGAATTTGTGAAGCGATAGTTGTAAATACTTGTACATATTTACTTGTGGGAATAAATATGGGCTGAAGACCTTAGTTTTTAAATATCATAATTGAGAGTGTCATTTCAAAAGAATTAAATGTGTGAAAATTACCTAGGCATATACAGGACACGCTCGGCCACAACAAATCCCACCCTGAAGAAGAGGTTGCTAGCCGGTATGAAGGGGAAAACCAGGAACAACAGGCCAACTAGAACTTCTCTGTGTTCCAGTTTCTGCAACGAAACAATAATTAGAGACAAATGAGTGAAAAAGAATGCCAAGTTCAGGGAAGATCATAGTTCCAATTCTAATGTAACAACATTCATACTCATATTTTTCATCATTTCATTTTATTATGGCACTTAAGCTATGTGCAATATTGCACTGTATAGCATCCAAGCACTGGTTCACAGCTAAAACCTTTAGGTTCAAGCTAAATGTTAAATGACCTCTTTATACAGTATTAGCCTTCCACACACATTTTGCAAATGGCAAAGGGACAAGGAAATGATAATATCATATTATGAGTACTTTCCTACTACACGTTATTGGGGAGAAGTGAGAGAAGGCAAAGTTGGTGATGTCCAAGAATTTCCCCTAATATATAATGTGTCACTAAACTATACCAGCTTGTTTTTACTTATCTTGTATATATTCATCTTAAGCCAGTGGGTTATTGTTATTCCAAATTTTACAGATGGAAAAATGAAGCAGAGGGATTACAGTTTGCATAAGGTTTATCAGTGTTTCCGTGGCTGAGCCGGGTTTGGAACATGGACCTACCAGATCTAAGTGTGCTACTGGCCCCATTCACAAGCAACAGTAAGAACAGGCTTCCTCAACCTCGGCCCTCCAGATGTTTTGAGACTACAATTCCCATCATCCCTGACCACTGGTCCTGCTAGCTAGGGATAATGGGAGTTGTAGGCCAAAAACATCTGGAGAGCTGAGGTTGAGGAAGCCTGGGTAAGAATATTGTCCAAACTAGGCCAACATTTTGCTCCAACCCTAAGTTTCTCAAGGGAAAACTAAAGGCTAGGAAATAACATGTACCATAATATTCTACAATGGGAGGGAAAATCTGAGGTACCGAAAGAAGAAATCTAATTGCCCTGTCCAGAACTGGGCTAGAACATTTAGCAATTCTCTTAAGCACAGTCAGCTGCTTAATGATCTCGGCTAACTGCTTAATGATCACAGCTAGTGACCACCTTCTCACTAAGCCAAAAGCGTTGAGATGTTCCAGCAGCAAGCTTCCTTAGGAATTTCAAAGCCTGCCGAAATAGGTCATTTGTTCAGCAGTTCCTACCCAACAGCCATTTCTTGCAACATTTAGGCTTTTCCTCTGAGAACTCCATTCCACCCACAGCAGCAAACATCCATATTTGATGCCTAATAAAACTAAGTAGATGTAACAAGGAACCGCTAAGAGGCTAGAAACATGAAAAATGCACAGTGTTATTTTTATGGCCACTTTTCAGTCTATAGTGCACCGGAGCATTTTATAGCACTCAAATTCTAAGAAATATTGCCCCGCAGGCACAAGCACACACACACTCATATTAAATACACATGTGAGCATGCACATACACAATAGTGGCAGCACCAGTGCCTCAATATCCAAACTAACCTGCACAATTACACTGAGGCCCCATTCACTTTCAGCTGGTGAAATGACCATGCAATTTCTTGAAGAATCGTGGGGACTGTAGTTCAGGATAGGAACTAAGAACTCTCTGCAAGGCCCAGTTTCAACATGATGGCATGTAGGCAAGAACTTGCCCATTGCATCTCATTTAAAGTAACCCTTACGTGCTATGCATGCAATATTGGCACACTAGTGCAGCAAACCGTCTGGGTCAGGGATCTCTGGTATGCTAACATTGCATGAAGAGGCAAAACAACACGGCACAGGTAAGTTTGTCTACCTTGAAGAAATCTGGTTGTCTTAGGCACTTCATTCTTAGCTCGCTTTTCGGACTATGGTTGGTTCGCAGAGCAGCAAATTTAAGTATGTCGTGTAAACATGCTCTTACAGAACCCCAAACTCTCACCTTCACCCTGTTTCGGGGCAACTTTTACACAACCACTTATGTGTGTGATGGCTGACTTTCAGCACACTTTGTGATCACTTAGGCATGTACAATAATTAGAATTGGGGGTGGGGGGAGCAATGGGAATAGACAAGAGAGAATATATATTAATCTAATGCATTTTAGACCCTTCTGGTCCCTTGCAGAAATCTAAAATCAATTTAAAATATTTTTAATTTGCAGAATTGACTATGCTATGCTATAGTAACAGTAATACTATGCTATGCTATGCTATGCTATGCTATGCTATTGTTATAGGATTGGGGGATTGATTTGGATGACGCTCATGGGTACCAACCCAGGCTGTGGTTTTGCAGCTACAAGATGGGGGTCTGAAATGGTCAAAGCAGTTTGCATCTCTAGCTCCCAGGCCCAACAACTGCTTTCAAGGATTCCAGAACAGAAAAGGCGCACTCCATGTTATGGCCATCTAAAAATGACACCAGCCAGACTATTTCCACCTTTCGTCACTCAACTTCATTGAGAAATTCTAAATTCTAGTGTTATCATGGGGGGCGGTCCACAATCTTGCCTATGCTCTCCACGCCATTTCGAATTATATCAGTGGCAGAGCATGGTCTTTCCATGCACAAGATCCCAGCTGCAGTCCTGGCATCTCCAGTTACAAAGGCTCTGAATGGCAAGATGAATGGCTGCAACTCTTGAGATCTGTTGTCAGGCATGGCTGACAATAATGGGATAGAGAAGCCTTCAGTCTTACCCGCTACAAGGCAGTTCCTTATCCATTCAGTATTCAAACTACAAGGCAGAAGTGAAATTTTAACAGGAAATTTTTCAACAATGCCCTTTCATCAACCTTTTCATCCTTTTTAAGACACAGATGGGACTGACTGTGTGTTAATCAGAGCCTAATCTTCATTTTTGGGTATAGGCTTTTCCCCTCCGCCTCCTCCTTCCTTTTGTTCCTAGCAAGTCTGTGAAGAATTGGTTTGATTCTATCCACTTAATCCTACAAGCTCTAATGGTACTTGAAGATTTTTGCTGAACAAATGCAGACAATGACATAAGATATATTCAGAAATAAAACTCTAAAGACAAACTGAGTCTTAAAAAAAAAAAAGAGGAATTGGCCTTTATAGCCTTTTTCTTTTGAAGACACTAGATTGCTCCCGTGTGCAGAAAAAATGGTGCAAGAACATACTCACACCCTCTTTATATATTTTTTAACAGATTACAAATAGCAAATAAAAGGGGAAAGTCAAACCAGGAAGGAGGACAGGGATTAAAATGCTTTTACTATACAAATTGTTAACACAGATACTTTTCTAGCTCTTTTATTTGTGGAAATATAAGAAATCACATGCAGATGGTACTCTGCCTATCGAGATGTGGGGCTTATTGTGTTCATTTTACTGGTTACAATGCTAGCGCTTTTGTCTCGATTCCTATCGTTCCTTTTTTGCTGCAGTACCTGTTGCATTATAGAACCTTGGCTTTTTTATCAATATGTTGCCGTGTCCACAAAAATTTTAAACAGTGGGAAAGAACTGCATGTCAGGAAACCACCCCAAATTTCATTACATGAAATTAGAACACAATATGCCCATAACCTTCCAGGTTAACCAAGGTTGCAAAAGAAATTTTTTTCTGGAAACAACACAGAAATGAGCCGTGAACTTCCATTAGATTTCCAGAAGTGGCTTTTATGCTGCGTGAAAGGTCACATGGAAATTAACAGGTAAGAAAATGATGGGGAAATGCAATAACATGCTGTCCAAATGCAGCCCGAGCAGCAATCTAATTAAATAGCTATAAAGTTATTCACTACTCAGTGGTCTGAAGATCTCATTGCTTTTCTACATTTTAACACTTGGCTTATAATAGCTTAGATATCTGATTGGACATATGGACAGTGTATATTAATTTATACATTTAAGTTATTGTTAATGCCAGCAGGCAATGTTCAAGCTATATGTGTCTTGGAATCCCCTCCCCCATCTTTTGCTTTATCTTATCTGGGGAACAAGTTGGCAAAACCACATTAACATAGTGCCAGCCTATGCTTATAAAAGAAGAATACCCAGCACTAGCTTTGATTTTGTAAATAGATATATAGATTTTATAGAAGTTATTAAGGACCAAACATGACAGATAACAGTTGTGGAATGTGTTTGCATTTGTGTCCATCTTTGCAAATTTTGGCAGATGAGAAGCAGTGGCATATAGGACTGCTTATATATGGAGCCCTAAGTAAGACGCAGGTGGCGCTATGGGTTAAACCACTGAGCCTACGGCTTGTCAATCAGAAGATCGGCGGTTCAAATCCCCATGACGGGGTAAGCTCCCGTTGTTCGGTCCCAGCTCCTGCCAACCTAGCAGTTCGAAAGCATGTCAAAGCGCAAGGAGATAAATAGGTACCACTCTGGCGGGAAGGTAAATGGCATTTCCGTGCGCTGCTCTGATTCACCAGAAGCGACTTAGTCATGCTGGCCCCATGACCAGCTGTACGCCGGCTCCCTCGGCCAGTAAAGCGAGATGAGCGCCGCAACCCCAGAGTCGTTCGTGACTGGACCTAAAAGTCAGGGGTCCCTTTACCTTTAAGTAATGGTTTGACTTTAGTACATCCTTTCATGCCCTCCCTTCCAAAAAGAAAAAGTATTTTAATCCAATCCTGTGGGTCTGTTGATCTAGAATCATACGAGGAGATGAACATGTAGCTGCTTCAGCATTTGCTACTCCTTAAGGAGTTAAAATTCACAATTTTAAAAGCTCAGTTAATCTCCTTAGTGTTTCCTGTGCTCCTGTAAGTCAGTTAACAGGGCAGGCGCGCAGTTTATGCAGGGAAGGAGGGAGGGAGATATTCTTTTAGCCAGCCCCAGGGTCTCTTGACTTATTGCTTTCTCTTCCTGAAGCAAATGCTAATGCAATAGTCATAGAAAACCTCATTGCCAAAGCACTAGGAACATCAATAGTGACCTTAGCAGGGGTGTCAGGAAATTCAGCAGGCCCTGAGGAAAATCAAGGAAGGATTGATTCAAAATGGGTCTTTTATGAAAATGAAGGCATTTTCCAGAGAGTAAAATGCAAGAAGTCAATAAACAGCCCTGCTCACCTTGTACGTCTTTGGTGCATGGGGGGATAAGAATTGTTTGGGAAGGGAGAGAAAGATATGTGCTTCCAAAACCTTGTCCATTTTGGCCTCTAGGAAGCGCCCTTGCCGTCAAGGAACCATAGACAGCCATTTGTAGATGGAAAGTCAACTGTAGCAAAGTATGCAAGGTCTTTATTCACACAGCCTTAAAATGGTGAACAGCATCCTTAGCTGATTTTGTAACAGGCGCTAATTCATTTGCTGCTAGGTCACCTTCCGACGCAGATGTTCAGTCACATACAGATGTAGAACAACTTAATAGAAAGCAATTTGATTACAACTTAATGCAAACCAATTTGATTAGGCACTTAATATAAACCAGTTAGACTACAAAAACAACTGAAAAAGCACTATTTCCAAATGCTAGGCAAAATAAACATGCTTCTTCTACATGTCTCCAAGACCAGGCCAGAAAACAGTTGTAAAATGCAGTGCAGTGGAACAGCCAGATACCACACCTCTACGCTCAAGGGAGAGAACTGCACAGGTGTGGATTGGGGTGAAGTGAGGGACATAAGAATAGCTCTTCTGTTCTGTCTCTGATTCTGGAAGAATTCATGGAAACTGGAGGAAACGATGTATTGCAGGCTAACAGGCTGAAATGAGTACCATCTCCTCCCATGAATGCTTAGACTACCAAGGAGCCTTTAGTGAGGGACTTTATAAAAAGCTTTTTTAAAGCCTAAGTACATAATGTTGACTGGATCTCCACTATGCAGGTGCTTGTAGACACTCTCCTAGAGCCTTAAGTTTAGTGAAACAGGAGTTATCCTTACAGAAGCCATGCTGGTTTTCTTTTAGCAAGACCTGAAGGCTTGGCCATTCTAGATGATCCTAGTGGTCCCTTCTATGATTCTATCTTTAATGCTTTCTACCAGCTTCCCCAAAATAAATGTTACGCTAGCTAGCTTGGATCTCTTCTGAATCGGTTTTTAAGAAATTGGTGTTGCACTGGTCTTTTTCCAGTCCTTGGGTATGGGGGCTGGTTTTAGGGACAAGTTACACATTTTTGTTAGAAGATCAACAATTTAACATCTCTTTAAGAATGCTCAGTTGTACCTGGATATTTGCCACTTTTTAATTTGCCAGCAATGCCTAGAACTTTGTCACTTGTCACTACTGCAGGCAATGACCATTTTGCGCAGGGGTTCCATTCCTGGCCCCCACGCACATCGGCAGAGCGCGCATAAGCCTGTTGCTTCCCCATTATGCCTTCTTCCGGGTCCAAGAGGACCCGCCCATCAGCGGCTGCGCATCAATTGGACGCACTCAAAATGGTTGCAGCTCATGTATTTCCCTGTTTCCATCCTGAGAAAGTTGGCTCAAGCACAAAAATCTGTCCTACATAAACAAAGAACGAATGAAACACATATATTTTGTCATAGATTATTCCTAACTTTTTACCTAATTAAATATGATTATTTCTGAAAGGGCGAAGAATGATTATTCTTGAAATATCTCTTTGCTTCTTATGAACGGAAAAGAAATGATATATCCTCTGGCAAGGACTATGACCCACAAGCAGGAAACAAAAGAACTTATGGGAACTGGTTTAATTAGACTTTGCTGGATATTGGGAAATGAAAATTGTAATTCCTTCCTTCTTACGAGAAAGGATACATCAGAAGGATACCAAGGGAAAGCTAAAGAGCAGGAGCACTGCTAATTTCCTGAAACAAATAAGCTGATAATACTGGAGAGCTGCTCTTGCATTCTAGGCAACCTTCTCTCCAGCGAAACGGCACATGGCCCTATTCCAAGAGCACCGTGAGCAAAAGCAAGACCTGGAAGAGCCACAAGGCGATAAACCTATATTCATTCTACATTATAAATATAGAAGTATTCAGCAAAGAAAAGGGAGCTGCCTGCCTTGGTAGTTTATCAGCACTGCACACACATTCCAACAATGCAATTACCCAAATCACAAGAGCTGACAACAAATTAGTCTCACTTAAAAATTCAATGATAACAAAATAATCAATCCCTTAGACATATTCTGTAATTATATTCAATGTAACCTGTCTTCCGACTCAGTATGGCACGAGGCACCATCTCCCTCCGGTGCTCTGCAGTTTGTGTAAACCTGAGGAAGGGGATGGCATCTGGTTGCTGTTGGGGACCCAGACACAAGACCAGCTGCCCCAGCAACCAGATGCATATAACCCAGTTGCGTGAATTTTACTGGAGGTACACAGCTTATACACTCTATGCATGCTTGGGGGAATAAACACTTTATAGGATGCGCACACACACACACACACACACACACACACACACACACTGGGATATAATGCAGGTGCAACTTTGTCCTGGTCTAGCAAGGGTGAAAAATTTGCAAAGTCTGTGGGTAGATAATGAAAGATTTAATGGGGGTGGGGGGTGTAGAGCTATTCTAAATAATTTTGTACAGCACTGAATGGCTGGGTGCATCTCTATGTGAATGTAGGGGTACGCATTTCCAGCTTGAGCCCTGCCTTTTCTGTGCAGCTAGTGGTTCATTACTAGAGCTGAACCAAGGCCACTGTACTCACTAAACTGACATAAAATGTGAGGCTATCCTGAGTAGTTGGCATACTCCAACTACTGGTGGGATATGGTCCAACTGTATGACACCAACAGCGCCTCTCTCCGTACATGCACACACACATCCCTGGCCTAGAAAGCAATTGCAAACCTGGGAGTGTAAGAAAATGTATTCTATTTCTTGCTCTGAATGGCTATTGCACCTAATGATGGCTGTACTACTTTTGGAAAGCTAGTTGTTCAGAAACAAAACACATGCTCCAAACGTAACATTATATCATCTCTCTTAACCAAGTCTCTCATTCTATGGGCCTTTGTACACTGGCTGGAAAAGTGGATATAAGCTTCATCGGATCTGCTGCTTTGATTTTGTGGGGCAGAGGAAGGGAGGTTATATCTCTGCAAGGTTGACAGAATGAGACACATTGGTTAAGAGAGATGAAGCAATGTTTCATTTGGGGCTTTTGCTCTGTTTCTGATCTATCAGTGGTTCAAAAGTGTCGTAATCATCATTTAGCGTAGAGAAAGAAATAAAATCCATTTTCTTACCTTTTCCAGGTTGACAAGTGCTGTCTGGGTATTTTGTTTTAATGGCAAAAAGCAGTCCAGAGAACAAGTAGCTCCTTTGTTCTCAGAGCAGCAGCGTGCAATATTTCTGACTGCTAGCTGGTATTACTTCACCTATTCTGCCTCTCTAGAGTGTTACAAAGCATTCACGATTAAATTCTCACACAGCTCATCTTTCTCCCCAGGTTCATTACCAACACACGACTCTCAGCTTGTTTGTGGAAAAGTAGATAACCAACCCTAAATCGTCAGCTCTGTACCAATATTCCACCACCATCCTAAATTATATATATTAAAAGCAGAACACTTGATGACTTTTTGCTTCATGTACTGATTTGAGTCGTGATGGACAAGTTCACAGTGACCCATGACCAAAGCCATAGGAAATCTGATTAGGATAGAAGAGGCAAGAGGAGTAAAGAAAAGAGGTGGAAGTAATCAGGAGCAGATGGAGACACAATGAATCCAAGGTTTCCTAATATACAAGAGAAGCAAACCTTAAGTTCATTCATGTCACAATACTTACCCTCACCTCTTCTCCCTGCCCTGCTCCCCATTCCCAAAGCCCTCTCTATCTCCCCTCTTTCCAACCTGCTACAAAGAGATCCCAGGTACAAGAGCCACCTGATATTTTGCCAGTTCATACATTACACAGGTAAATTGTGTTGGGGTAAGTAGTGGAAGGGGTGTGCATGAATCAGAGTGGGTTGTCATGGGGAAAGGGCCGGACTCTCAAAAAAGTACTCAGACACAGCACTTTAAATCACAGGCTTGTTCCTAGAAAACATGGGGCAAAAGGTAACTGTGGATGAGCCCGGGTTGTATGCATGGAACTTGGGATCACATTCACTTGCCTCAAACAAACATTTTCTTACAGGTGCAGCTCCAATATGCACACTAGCTCTCCTGCTCACAAAGCCTGCCTCAGCTGTATGAAGCTTTGTTTGTGCTGATCCACTTCTTCCAGTAAAATAAATGGGATAGACAGCCCACACTCAGTATGTTCAAGGAAGAACACCCAGACCTCTTGATCTTCTAGGTAAAGGTAAAGGTACCCCTGACCATTAGGTCCAGTCGCAGACGACTCTGCAGTTGCGCGCTCATCTTGCTCTATAGGCCGAGGGAGCCAGTGTTTGTCTGCAGACAGCTTCTGGGTCATGTGGCCAGCATGATTAAACCGCTTCTGGCGAACCAGAGCAGCGCACGGATCCTCTACTCACCAGCAATTTCTCCTTTAAAACTGCTACCAACTCAATGGTTCACAATAGTCTAAAGACCTTCCCCAAGGTTGTGGGGGCACAAAGGGAGACAAGAGTGCTTGATTCCTCCTCCCTCTCCCACTAAACCTTGATTCACGCACAGGTTTCATGCATGAGTTTCAGCTACAGCATCAGAAAGTTGTTACATTCAAACCAATATGGTACAGCCTGTAAAGTAGCCCGTATCACTTATTATTTCATGTTCCCTTCAACCTAAGGTTCCAGGGCAGGTTATAGCAATTAAAGAACAATATTAAAAACAGATCAAAACAACATAAAATATCAGAAATAAGGTGGCTCCTAAAAATATACATCTCTCATGTCAAAAGCCAGGGTAAAGAGATACATCTTTGGCATTTGCCAGATGCACCACTGTGGGGAAGGGGTTCCACAACTTAGGGAGTGCTGCAGTAAATCCTCTCTCCCGGGTGATATACCCAACACCAAGTTTCTGAGAGTGGTGGAACAACCAAGACTGAGATTATTCCTTGGTAAATAACATCTGACCAGGCCCAGATGGGTATGTAGAAAGAGAAACGGAATACTTATCTTTAGCATATTCAGGAACACTGCCTCCTCCGTTCTTTCAGGACAGAATTGTTTCTACATAATCAGTACACAAACAAATAAGTAGAGAAACATTTGTTTACCTTGAATGCTACTATGCAGTGCAGACCCAGCAGCAGCATCACCGCTGCCATCAGAAGTGTGGCAAAATTCCTCATGTCCCAGATCGATTCAACCAAAGGGATACTCCCAACCTGCCAGTCATAGCACAGAGTAATGGGAGCCAGTAGAAGCCAGGCATTGAAGGCCAGGAGGTAGGAATAAGTAAGAAACCTACAAAATGAAATGTGAAGTTCAGTTACTAGCATGCTGCTCGTAGGGGGAAAGGCAGGATTGTCACCAGTAGGTGGAAAGGACACTGGTGCAAATCAGAGCCAAGTTTAATCTGTGGGATGAAAGAACAGTGAAAGAACATCCACAACTCTGCCTTAATTTCCACACTCATATCCATTCGGCAGTACCATATCACATTAGATGAGCAGAGATGGGCAATATCTTTATTAGGACTAATCAAAATGCCACAGAATAGTGAGTAAAGCTTTTTGAGTTCTCCAAAACACTTCATCATGTCAACTGTTACACAACTCTACTTTGTGAAGCATCTAGGCCTAAGAAAGAGTTCAGGAGAACTGAAAAGCTTGCCTGCTATTCTGTGGCATCCTGGTTGGTCCTAATAAAGGTGTTATCCAAATGTGATTTTTGAAGGTACCATTACAGATGCCTTTGCTTTTTATGTACATTCCTAATGGCATGCACTGGAGAAACCCAGCCAGATGGGCAGGGTGTAAATATAATAATAATAATAATAATAATAATAATAATAATAATAATAATAATAATAATATCCCATGCAGCAGTGGCAGCAGCAGGCCCTCTATAAACTCAGTGAGATATGATGGGCTGTTCTAATGAGCCGGTTGGGCCGAGGCAACTGATCAAGCCAAACCACAGATTCATGATATAAGCTCAGATATGTAAGCTCGGCTCCCAAAAGTGTAAGACAAGTGTGGACAGACAAGAAGGTAGTGGGAGTTGGCAGGGCTGTAGAAAAGGCTTGCAGGATCCTGTACCTAAGTAGGAATAGGCAGGTGCAGAGCAGGAGCAGAATCCATGCTGTTTTTTTTCCTAACACAGCCCATTAACAGAAAGGAGAAAGACAAGAAAGGCCAGAGAAAAAGCCTAGTGCAGCAAGGCAAGGAGCCAGTAAAGTTAATTGGACCTAAGAAGACTTACGGTCTTGAACAAAGCTACCGTGTCCCAGCAAAGGCTCCAGCAAAGCTCCCAGAAGACCCACAGACTGAAAATTCACTTGTGCAATAAAAGCCAACATAGTACAGCAGTTACAGCAGCTTTTGCCATCCCAGTGCCTTCCAGATGTTTGGGACTACAACACCCATGAGCTGCAGTCAACACTGTGCGAGGGGCTGTAGTTCACAACATCTGAAAGGTATCAGGTTGGCAAAGGGTGGGTTACAATATTGGGCTAGGAGTTGAAATCCCTGCTCAGCCATGGAGCCCATGACCGTTTCCCAGCCTAGCAGATCTCCTAGGTTTGTTGTGCAGCTAAAATGTGTGTGAGTGTGCGCACATGCACACGGGCGCCTGCACAATTTTGTACACCACTTTGAGCTCCTTGAAGGAACAGCAGGATATAAATATATATAAGTAAGTTAGTGTCTGATAACCTTGTAAAGTATAAGAAAGGTTGGTCATATAATGGAAAAACACCTTTTTGTTTCTGAGGCAGTGATGTGATGAAAACTGCTTTTCTGCAATCTGGTAGCATTTAGAAGCCAAGACGACTGAGAAGCCAATATCAGACTGTTAATCTCAGCATCACACCCGGCTGATGTGGAAAACAACAGCATAATGAGAGATTCCCTTGAGGAGCAGAGCTTCCAACATAACCCAGGCAACATGTAGGCAGCCCACAAGGATGTGGACAGCTTAGCTGCTGACCCTGCAACTGTTATTGTGAACTATTATGAGCAGGCAAAGGAAACAGAAGTCCCCTCCCCATACCATGTGAGAACATTTACAAAGACGAATGATAAGACCTATTTGTACAGCACTTTCAGCAGAAATGATACGTAACAACAAACGACAGAAACACCAACCAAGTGGCTTGAAAATTGCTCTGTTCTGTCTTGGCACCACTTATGATCCTTCCAAACATTCTGCCAGCACAGCCACATATTGTTTTCCAAATCCTAAAACACTCGTCACATGCTGTGCATAGTTGGCTGGTTCACATCTCAGCTTATCACAACAGAAAATCTCTTGGCTGTTTTGCTCGTTGTCAAATGCTGAAAGCTCTCATTAAATTTGCACGGTTTAGGAAGCATTCGCCAAACATGGCGGTGGGACTAAAGAGAGCACTTATTGATTCGCCGCAAGCCTCTTTTGAAAATGCAAGGATTCCATCTGTGACAGTTTTTAAAGCGTAACAATTTGGATCGCCTTCCCGTTTTAATAGCCTTGAATAATAGCTTGCCGTTTGTGTATACCACAAAGCTAAGAGTGGCTGTGACAGCGGGCAGTAAGTGTGAGGCCAAAGAATAAAAGGCAGCATTTATTTTTAAGTAATCAACAACGTCATATAGTACCTTTCATCAGTAGCTCTCAAAATGCTTTGCAAAAAGTATAAAGGACCTGCAAACACTAAAATAGCTAATGCTATTAATCAGCTTTCACAAAAGCAGTAAGATACACTTGTTATTTCTATGAAGTAGTACATTGCCATTTATCCTCCCCAAAACCTTCTGTAGGAGGTTAAGCTAGTGATTTGTCAAAGGTCATGAACTGGAACACAGGAAGCTACCTTACAACTGGTCAGATTATTTGTCCATCTAGCCCAGTACAATGTACTCCAGGGGTGCAGAACCACTGGAATTCCAGATATTGGTGGACTACAACTCCCACAATCCCTTTCCATTGGCCATGCTGACCAAGACTGATGGAAGCTGAAGTCCAGCATCAGGAGGGCCACTGGTCTCTTCTCACTGACAGCAGCCCTCAGAGTTCTCAGGCAGAGAACTTTCCCATCATCTGCTACCTCATTCTTTTATCTGGAGATGACAGGGATTAAGCCTCAGACCAGTGATCGTGGTGCCTGGTGCCCATTTGGACTGGTAGGGCAGAGAACAAGGAGGCTAAGGATTTGGGGAGTTAGATCCACAGACATGCAGAGCCAGCTAATTCTAGTTTTGTCCTCGACTTCTTCCCTGGTGAGTTTTACTAAGGCAATGCTGAAACTAAGATTTCCAGGCGCCACAAAATTAATCCAAATTAGCTACTTCCTTGCCTCTTTTCGGCCAGCACAGCAATGCCAAAAAATATTCCAGCGGCCTCTGTTATTGGGTAGTTAGAAAACAGCATTCCTTCTCTTCCAGCCTGACCTTTTAAGTTTCACTAAGAACACTCTCCTAAATTTACTATCTACATGGGAAGTCAAGAAATAAGAGCACAAAGGCATTCTTGCTGGCTGCCTCTCAACTGTGGAATTTGCTCCCTCTTACCAGACTTGCCAAACACTGAGATTGTGCTTCTCATAGTGATATTTTTATTCAAGTTACCTTTGGGTGACCAAAGAAAGAGTAAGATGATGATAATTAAACTCTAATTAATTACAATAGCATAATGTTACCCCTCTTGAGCTCTTGGCATAGGGAAGGCTATAAATCAAATGAAACTAATGAGCCCCCTGTTAATCTCATCAGATTTTAAAAAGGAAAGTGAAGCTGTTTCGCCTCATGTATATACAGATTTTCATGACAGTATATAATTACTTATAATGCAATTTGCTCAGAGGTAAATTCCCTTGGGTTCAATGGGGTGCTTAATCCAGAGTTGCAAGAATTCAGCATTAAAAAGAAAAGAACCCTAAAACTAAAAGGAGAACTTGAAAGATGAACTTCCCAGTTACAGGCTTCTGCCATTCTCCATGTTAAAGCAAGGCCTGAGTTTATTCCCAAAGTTTGCATGATTTTATAAAAAGAACCTCGGCAGCAACTGTTACTGTGGCATACTGGATGCTTGAATGCATTTAATCTAATGCTTTAAAACTAATTATAAATACTGCTTGTGCAACCAGATCTCTCTCAAGAACATAAAACAACCACCCTTCCAAAACACAGCTCTGAGGAAAGTGACAGCTTGAACATAAACACCGGGGACTTGCTTGCTTCCCTAACTGCAATCTAGGCTGTTTATTATTTTACCCCAATCTATACTTTATGCAGCTCTGGAGAATGTTCCCTAATCATTTGAGTTAATTTGTCTACTAATTTTCAGTATGCATTGCATTTCTTCCAATTAACATTTGCTCTTTGAATAACTGAGATGAACAGTGCAGATTAAGTCAGATGGCCAAAGAGCGTTTGCATTTTTAAAAAATTATTTTGCAGACTTCATGTAAAAGAAATATTTTTTTTATTGCTAATATGTGGAGAAACTGCTTGTTTTTATTTCTGGTGCCAAGGCATCTGCACTTCTAGCCCTAGATTCAAGCAACAAAAAGCATGAAAGTTGAAGCAAAGTTAACTCTTTACAGCCTGGCAAGAAAGCAGAGGATCCTACTTTAGAGTCCATTTATCACATGGCACAGTTGAGAAACTGAATCACACTCACATTACTGCCTAGTCCTATGCAATTTTCCCCCAAACTAATTTTCACTGTATTTAATGAGGCTCTCAATAGGTTAATCTGTTTAGAATTGCAGCCTTGAAGTCAATGGGACCTGAATAGGATTTTGCATAGGATTGTAAAGTATGGTAAAGGTAAAGGACCCATGGATGGTTAAGTCCACTCAAAGGCGACTATGGGGTGAGGCTCTCAGCCCACTTTTCAGGCCAAGGGAGCTGGTGTTTGTCCACAGACAGCATTCCGGGTCATGTGACCAGCATGACTATACCACTACTGGCGCACAGAAGACTGTGACGAGTGCCAGAGTGCACGGAAATGCCGTTTACCTTCCCACCACAGCAGGAATTATTTATCTACTCGCTCTGGTATGCTTTCTGCTAGGCTGGCAGAAGCTGGGCAGAGCAACAGGAGCTCACCCCATCGTGCGGACTCGAACTGCCGACCTTCCGATCGGCAAGCCCAAGAGGCTCAGTGGTTTAAACCACAGCGCCACTCACGTGCCTACTAGGATTGTACTCTTAGTCAAGAAGCAAACAACGTGAGTAGTCCCAAGACCATGAACTCTTAATTGGCTGCAGCAGATGTATAGGTATTTTTAAGATATACTACCCCATGTAACAGTGGCTTCC